ATCTAAATTTGAATCAAAAAATAATCTACTCTATTTTGAAAGACACTATTAAGTACAAAAAGAGAAAACATAATTACATGCTTATCAAACTCATTACAATTTTTCATTTGTAATAAATTTTGGATACAATAAGACCTTAAACTTAATACCTAAGATTTTTCGTGGCCTCAAATGTAAAAAGAAATTAAAGACTTTGTACAAACTTATGATATTCATTCAAATTTAAAAATTACTTATCATTTATCTTATTGACTTTTTTAATTGTTATCTATATCTAAACAAGTATGGACTTTGGTTTCTATTGATTTTATTATAGATCTTTTAATCTTAAGTTATTATGATTCTATGTTTATGTAATAGATTATTTCACTAAGTTGGCACACTTTGTAAAAAATTTATTACATATGTAGATATATCTTAAGATATTCTTGAAAATACTTATTACTATCATGGATTATCAAAGAATATTATATTAGATAGAAGAATTTAATTTATCTTAAGGTTTTGAAAAATAATTTATAAAATATTCAAGATGAATATAAAATTATCTTCAACTTTCTATTATCAAAATGATGGACAAACAAAATTAGTGAATTAAATTTTGGAGTAGTATTTGAAATATACTATTAGCTACCATTAAGATGATTGGATAATTTTTTTATCATTAGAATTTTTTTTTATAAAAATATAATATTTTTTATTTAATAAATAATTTTATTTATTAATTATAATTATCATCCATAATTTTATACTTTTGACTTCTCAAAAGTTGATAATTATACAACAAAAGATTTGACATATTGTTTATTAGAGTTGCATGTAGTAATAAAGGTACAATTAAAAGAAGCTCAAAAAAGATAAAAGATGAATATAAAAGCCTATTATAAAGAACAACCTTAATTCTATATTGGCAATAAAATATGATTACTTTTGTTGTGCTATTAAAAATAGTCATCTTTGTGACAAATTGGATCATCGTATACTTCGACCATTTCTTATTTGTGAATAGATCAAATCAATTGCTTATTAATTATACCTATTGGAGTTTATAAATTTTATTTTTATATTTTATGTATCTTTTTTTGAGCCATATAAGATAGTGGATATATCAAATAAATAAATAAATAAATAAATCCTCTTCTTTCTATAAAAATAGATAATAATGAATAATTTGAAATTAAAGAAGTCTTAATTTCAAGGTGGCACTAAAACATGCTAAAATATTTTGTACATTAGCACAAATATGATATTAGTAAATACATATAAGAGCCAATAAAGAATCTTGCAAATATAATAGAGAAAGTTGATGCTTTTCATCAAAAAAAAAACTATTAAAACTAAAATAAAGAATGAAGCAATTTCTTGCTATAAAAAAATAAAATTTAGTGAAGATTACATTTTATCTTCAATCTATGTTTGTGATTTTTATATATTTGTAGTACTAAAGAGATAAACAATCAATAGCCAATAATTTCTACTTATAAATTATTGTTTGTTGAGTTATCCAACAAGATATTAAGATTGTGACAACCTTCAAGATGATGTAATAGAGCTGAAAACCTTCAAGAATAAAATATTTTTTTCAAATAGATAGTAAGATACAACATATTTAATATTAAAACCATAGAAGCTTTTATAGAAGCTTCATAAACACAAATTTGACTTTATATATATTTGTAGGTGATTGCTAGGTTAAAAAATTGGTCCACAAGTGGGCCAAATGCTATAGATATTGGTGATTTATGATACAAGTTGGCCAAATGGTGTATATATAGGTAATTCATCTTATAAGTATGGAAGAACCTATAGAATTTTGTCACATAGCTCTTAGTGAGATATTATATATAGAAGCAAGTGTGAAGTCTTTTTTAACCTTATCAATGCCTTTCTTATCTTTAATCTTATTTCAAGAGCCTCTATGTATCTTGTCTTTGGCAATAGTCAATCTAGTTTAATATTATACTATCTTTGAGTAATTATCTACACTTTTTTAAGTAACATAAGAGAATATTGATCCTTTTGTTTATTGTGATTCATGTCTTTGACACTACGTTATTTTCTTCATGGCCAATCAAAAGACTTTTTATTGTCTCTTTGTATTATATTCAAGTTTTTTTATATAAAAAATATTTAGAGCATATATCTATCTATATATATTCATATTCATAATTTTAAATTATATGGATTTTAATTTATAAAATATTTATAAAATTTAAAGAAGTCAAAAGATTTTATATTTTGAACAATTATTAAATGATGATGTAAAAAACAATCCTTTTTAGATAAGATCAACATGTTTTAATTAATAGAACTCAATTTAATAATGTCTATTCAAATATAATATTATATATTTTCATTCTTGTTTTTCATGTCTCAATTTTAATGTTGGTTGTAAAAGCCTATGTTGTGTGTGATTTCTTTTGTATTTAATTTCTTTGTTATTACATCATCAAACTGATTTTTAGTTTTTTATTTATTTTTTGAATTATAGTTTATTATGATTCTTATTGATTTATATTCCTAAGTGTACAAGTCTGTACTAAATATTAAACAAGAAAGTAATCAAACATGTCTTATAAAACAAATACAACCAACATTGTTAAAATTACTAGAGGTACACTATTAAAGCAATAATTTTCTCTATCCTAGTGAAAAAAGTTTGGAAGGCTCATCCAAAAACCTACTCGACATTAGCATATGGTCAATGCAACACATTTCAAAGTCATGCCAAATTGCCAAGTGTAACCATGTGGTACAACCCAAAGGCAAAGCTCCAAACACACTCACAACTCTTAGGCACATAGATCCAAAAGTAACACTTGGGTCATATACATCCAAAAGCAACATTTGGAGATGTAAGCTGTGTTGCACAAGGGCGGGTGTTGAAAAAAGGGCTTTTCAACATGCAATGTTAAACTTAAGCTGTTGGGGGTAAATTGTTTGTGGCCCAAATGCTTTGATGCTTTGGTACAGCTTTAACCAAGTGTGGGGGGGGGGTGACGTGGAAGGAGAGCAGGTCTGACCATCTCACCCACTGAAAAAGCATAATTTCCAGCAATGGGGACAAGACAGGCAGAGTGGCAGACTGAGGCCACATGTTCTGCAAGTCAGTCACTAGTCATGGTGCCCCAACGACCCCACCCCCCTTACCAGGAGGAGGAGAAGAAGACCTGACCAGACAAGGCCTCCATCTGACACCCCCCCCCCTCCACACTTGGTATTTCTTCTTCATCATGTTGCCACCTGACACTTTCACAAGAAAAATGCTCACTATGGTCGCCATGGTGGAGTTGGACAAGCCCATCTTGCGTTCTGTTTTCCACATCCAAAATGGGGCCCAAAAGTCATGTTGAGTGATGGAGACTTGTTACTACCATTACCACACCAATAACAATGTGTGTGTATAATTGTATGTATGTAGGTGTGTGTACAATTGTATGTATATATGTGTGTGTACGTTAGAACCTTTCAGGCACAAAGAGTTTCAGAGTGTGGTGGTGGAGGATGTTGGCAGCAATGGAGCAGACATTTGAGGACAGAAGTTGAAAGTTTATGGGGGTTTAGAGGTGATGTGGAGGCATTATGGAGAAGCAGTTGTCTGTTCCAAGTGTGTGTGTGTGTGTGTGTGTGTGTTTTTTTGTTAAGGATGTAGTTTCTGACAATTTTAGTGATGTTTGACTGTACATGGTGATGAAAGTGATGTTTGACTTTGGAAATCAAAGCATGTTTTTCAAATTGGTTGAAAATACCTCCACCCTCCTTTACTTGTCAGGATAGCAACCTCCTGAAAACTACCCCTCTGTGTGGAGATTGTTCTACCCACTGCCACATGTCAAATGGCAGTAATATGCCTAGAGATGTAACCATAATATCCAGAGCTACATTTTCATGATTGATTGAAATCAATGTTCATGTTGTTCAAGGGTACAAACTGAACAAGGCAGAGTTAATTCTGAGCAAATAGGGAGAAGCTCAGCTTCTTTATGCAAGTTGAAGTAATAGCAATTGGAATATGGAAACATTGTTGGTGGTCAGCCAATTGTGAAAAGGAGAATGTCAAGCAGGAACTTGTTTTAGTGCATAGAATAACTACCTGCAGGATTGTGAAGACCTTGACAGGGTCAGAGTTTATGGTGGGTCTATTCAACAGTACAAATCCACAGCAGCAATACTTGTAGTGGTCACACTTGTAGTGCATCACAACTATGGCGGTTGAGATATCACCCTCAGAAGGCACTGTCATTAGATTTGTTCAAACACTGCTTTAGAAATGCCACAGTTGCAACCAAATATCCACAGTAGTTTAAAGTGGACTTGTAGATTCTCTACATTGTCAGCTTAATAACTGGCAAATGCATAGAACATGTGAATACTTGACCAAGCTTTGATGAACAGGGAGCACTCAAACAGGGGTGATTTATGTGAAGGGAACTTTGAAATAAAAGGGTGCAGTCATCTACAACCTCAACTCTTTTGGGTTAGAACACTTTTGAGAACCACTTCAATGCTTTAAACCAACCTAGCATAATAGCTGTGCAGGTTGCAGCAGATTTGAATTATCTGTCTCAGAACGATTTAGTTTTGAAAAAAAAAAGTCTCTTCAAACTGTCTAGATAAGCATGAATCATGTGTTGCAACACAAGGAGGGCATCAAATACATCACCAATAGTACCTCATAGATCCACTGCAAAGGCATACACCTCATAGATGGGTTCTTCACATGATACAGGGTGAAAATAGCAGTCTGATTTCCTGAAAGCAAGTACTCAACTGGACAGTTTGGACAGCCAGTACAAAACGTGCAGCTCTGCATGGTGAGCAGCATATTTCAGGCTTGGGCACCAAATCAAAGCGAAGAAAAAATCACTTAGAGAACCAGTTTCATATCACAATTCAATTCGATTTGCAGCAGGGAGCCAAGAGAATGTGCTTATTTGTGGGTGTAAATATATAGATAAATATATATATATATATATAGAGAGAGAGAGAGAGAGAGAGAGAGAGAGAGAAATACACATACTTATGATTACTAATTTGTAATCAGAAAAGTACACTTGGAGATTCATGTAATCCAAAACAAACGAAGACTAATTGAAACTGAAGTTCGGAATTATCTCGGTCGCACCAGGGGATCGCTTGCTTGTTCGTCTAATGATCGCCTTCATGACGGTTGTTTTGAATCTACTCTGGTTTCTCAAATAAATCAACATAGAAGCTCATAGACGAGAACTAGGCATCTTACAAGGGCTGTGTTAATACTCTCCGAGAGAGAGTGATGATGTACTCCATAGAAGCCTCTGGATAATCCATAACATTTGCAAAATTGTTATTTGTGTTCAAAAAGATCCACCGAAAGTAGCTGCTCCATGGGTACTTCATTATCTGCGAACTTAACACACGGCGCTCACCGTAAGTCTACATAGCCGAAGGGACAGGGTCTATCTCACGTGTACCTATTCTCCAATGACTACTTTGTCAATTATACTCCGAAAAAATGATGGTGCACCTGAGCCCACCTTACTAATGAGCTCCTTGAACACAGTAATTTCCTCCACATGTCAAATAGGCCACTACTACTGCACACGATGCTTCAGATCCTGCGAGAACTGCACACAGACAGCATTGGAATAAGCATGAGTTTTTCAAGATAAACTCTCGAACACATCATAAGCATAACCTGCAGTGCCAGCCCGCATTCGCTAGGAGGTAGTCCGTCTTCTGAAAATGAAAATTCTTCGTGACATTCTTGTGTATAATCTCTACACTTGAGTGCTAGAAATTATCTTCAAAATTGCCAATAGTCGTTTGTAAGAGGATCTTCCCCGGGTTTGAAAGGGCGGCTGTGGAGGAAGAATTTAAAGAGGGTCTGCTTAGGCTCTTAGAAAGATAGATTTCGCTGGCACCTTAAGGTTGAGTTTGACTACAAGACTAGAGCCTTGGCAATCAAGGGCAGGATCTCTTGCATCAAAAAGTATTTCTTAGACCATTGTTTTCATCGCTAGTCAAGGTTGGTTCAATCTGTTTCATAAAAACAGAACAAATAGTAAACGGTGATGCAACTTGATCCCGGGCTGGAATCCTTCAAGGAATTCGACATACTCGCATTTGGATGTGAAGCAGGTTACTCTTGTCGCTGAAGTTAAAAGCATCGAAGTCGCAAAGTAGGGTCTCTCGCGGAGTCCAGCCATGGAACTTAGGACGGACATAGGCATCCCTTCTGCGTAGTCGTGAGGAATAACCTGCAGAGAGATTCCTCGGATCCTTCGAAAGATTATCGAACATGAGATTCAACATAAATGCCAACTCAAGACTAAAGCCAGAGATTCTAGCAGTGTAGCGTCGTTGCCTTCACATCGAAAATAGACTTTGGTCGGGAAGGAGAGATTATGGATGGGTAAGTAGAGCATTCCTGGAAGTGCTTGAGAGGAGTGTGCCCAAATTTGGTCACAAACCATACGAAAGCGGGTGGTAGTGGATAACGACGATGCGAATCACCAATACGAAAATGCAAAGAATCAGGAACAAAAGATTCAACTGCCCACTTGGGAGCGGATAGTTTTTTGTGGCCCTCTACATAATCATGGTTCCTTCGTTACCCTTACACAGCGTGTGAAGATCCCCACAATCCCCCGTTTAGCTACACTGCAGCCTTCAAGAAGCCGTAGATACTGTGATGCAGGCAGCATCTGTACCGTAGGAAGGAACAGCAATGACCTCAAAAGAACAGATTGAAACAACAGTCGGTACATGTTTTAAAAAATGCACCAGATTGTACGCACTGTAGAATATCTGCTTGCCGAGGTTCTCAATCCACGGTAGTCACAGCAAAAACAAACAAAAAACCCGAAACCCTGACTTCCAGAATGTTGGGTGATGCAATCCTGTTCTCAAGGCCAGGAAAATGATAGTTCCCGAGTGTAACGATTATTTGCTTATACAGCACAGTTCCACGGATTACACAATGAATCCCCTTGTCATATTCGAAACGAAACTACAAATCAGCTATGAAATCGAAGTGATGATGGAGGAGCTCGAATGTGTGCTTTCCGATCATCAATTATACTCCAGCCGGTGCTTGATCTACGGACGCCAATCAAGTATTCTTGAAAAGCTCAGCAAGAAACTAGATTTTTTCTTTACAAGACAGAACTGCCCACAAATATCACCAAAACCCATCGAGGTTCCTGTGATTACTTTCCACTTCATAAAAGTAGGATGGCTTAGATTCAACAAGGAATACCTGCAGACACTCACCAGACATGTGAGCTGCTGAAACGCGAGGACAAAACACGTTGTAGCTTACCTTCGACTGTGCGAGTCACCTAAAAAAACAGCAACACCGATCTCATATACCGCAAGGCCATAGCAGGTGATCCACAAAGGGGTCCCCATTTCACTAATCTATGTGAGAAGCAGGGATAGATGAAGACTTTGAACAATCTGAAGGCTGAATCGAAACGATACTTCTTTGCAGCATCTTTGATACCGGATTCTACTCCTGGAGTTCGATGACAAGCGTTGGTTCCTGTAACAAAGCATCTTGTAGCAATGGAGCCTACAAGTATGAGAAGCTCATCAACGTTTGACCTAATCTCCTTGCCTGTGAAGCTTCATCTCCTTTTCTCTGACCTAAAGTTGCTGCCTCGATCCTAAAGCCATACAGCACAATCTCCAGGTCTGCAATACCTGCAGATATTCTCAAAGCCAGTCTGAAAAGCATGAAAATGGAAACACTGAAAACAGAAATATGTACAAAAGAATGTTGTAAAACGCAGCAGCTGGGGCACTGTCATGAAAGGATTTTCAGTGCTTCAAATCAAGGAAAAGAATCCGTGTATCTCTAACAAGTGGAGGAACAGAGATTGTCAGGATCTGAAAACATTAAAATGAGTTTGAAAGAGCATTTGTTTTTAGAAATAACCGATTATGAGGAAAATGATAATTGGAGTTTGTGTGTTTTTTTAGAGCCACTTCGCCCTGGTGAGCACAGGGGTTGGGCTTTTGTAGAAATTTTATGATTTGGTTTTGAGCGTAAAAAAGAAAAAAGGTATTATGAATAATAAGTATGCAAGTGGATTCTAAATAATATTAATATTAATATTAATAAAAAATAAAAATAAAAAACATCTTTCTTTACTAATACTACTTGGTGTAATATCCATTGGCATGGTAATAACTATAGAAATTGAAGAAGATGGTGATTAAGTTAACACTAACAACTCTTAATAGTATCAATAGCCTTTATAAAGTACTTACAATGCTTGACTAATTTGACACACCTAAGAACTAATTAATCACAAAACATATCTATTTGAATATAATAGAACTTAAGAACAACCTTCTAATTGTGTGGTGCTTTTGATCAATAGTAAGTTTTATTGATGCATGTAAAATGATTAATTATCATACAAAGCTAGAAAAGAAGTCTTAATAAGTAATACATGTAGAATAATATCTAATTTTTTTTTTCACAATCTTTATGTGGACATAAAATTATTGAAAAGTGACATCAATATTAAAAAAGGTAAAGAAATTAAATTATATTAATTTATATAAAAATTAATTATATTAATTTATATAAAAAAATAATTTCTAATAAAATTATAAGAAAATTAGAAAAAAAACTAGTATAATAATAATAGCCACTTTATACCAATAGAAAAATAAGACTTGGTTATTTCAATAAAAATAAGACTTGGTTATTTCAATAAAAATAAGAATTGGTTATTTTAATAAATATTATCATATATTTTATATTTATTAAATAAAAAAATTTGTGTTCATATATAAATTTATTTTAATAATATTTTTCATGTTAAATAGAAAAACACATATAAATTTAAATTAACAATAATTCTATAACTTATAGAAAAAAATTATTAAAATTTGATATTTATTTTATATCAAAAGAAAAAAAAATTATGTTCAATCATGACTCTTTTCATATAAATTTAAAATTAGTTCATGCTTAATATTTTTTGTTTCTTAATACACTCACTTATTTAATTACATGTAATAAATATAATTTTTAAAACTAAAATTTAATACTTTTTTAATATTTATTTGATATTTTTTAAATAATTTATCATAACTTTATTTCTTAACTTTATAATTTATCATAACTTTATTTTTAAATTTAATTTATTAAATATCATAAAATAATAGTTTTTTTTTTTTTTTTTTTTTTTTTTTTGGTAAGTTTTTTTTTTTAATTAGCCTATAAAAAACAAAAAAATAGGTTTATTTTTTTTTAAAAAATTTTGATTTACTAAAAAAATTTTTGGAAAAATTTTTTATAATAATTAATCTTTCAAAAAGTAATAATCTTCAATAAATAATCAAAAGTTTAAAAATAAAATCTATTTTAAAATATATAAATGATAGTTTTTTATTACTAATAATTAATTGATTTATATTGAATTTTATTAATTAACAAAGATAAATGTTTATTTGTGATTAGATGATGCAAAGTTACATGGTATTAAAAAAATGAATCTCAAAACAACTAAAGAATTAATATGCTCTTTTGATACAAATATTAGATGTCTCTCATATTCTTAAAATCTTCTATTCTATTATAGACTAAGTTTTCTTAGGATCTATCATAAGGCCATTATTTGAAATGATACATCTTAAGAAATTAATTTGAATTGTATAAAAGATATGCTTTTTTATCTTAGCATGTAGTCTTGCATCTTTAAGTTTTTGTAACACATGACAAACATTTATACAATTTTGTATTCTTAGAGCAGTTTAAGATAATAAAATTTAAAAAATCATCTAAAACTTTAAAAAAATATTATTCTTTAGATATTAGAAAGGAATTGGTTGTTACATAATGTGTTATTGAATGCCAAATCCTATTGTAACAGGGTATAGATAAGATATTTGTATTATTGACACGCATGGATAAATAGTTAAAACCATGGAAGTTTCTAGAATTGACGTTAGATTCAAAGAGCAGGTAGGATCTATCATAGAACATTCTAAAAAGAGTTTACGACGGTTACTTAGGTAGGATCCACCATAGAACCTTCTAAAAGGAATTTAAGACAATTATCTAAGTAGGGTCCATCAACTTGGAACATTCTAGAAAGTCCAAGGTAGTAGAATAAAGTATAAATAAGAGTAGCCAAGGCATTTTGAAGCATCTGATGAGATATGGCTTTGGATCTTTTCTTTGAATACAATTGGATTTTGTATCTTTATGTTTTGTTTTGTTTTGTTCTAAGTCCGATTGCTTAGTTTTGACTTTCGTATCTCATTTTATTTAGTTTTTTTATCGCTCAATTTGTCCTCCCTTGTGATGAGATTTTATATTGTTGTGGATTAGAACGGTCTTGAATACTTGACATAGACCGATCTTATTTCATTGGTATCAAAATAAATATTAGATTATTCTTTGGTAGTACGTTGATAGCCATCATCTAGTCCAAGGTTAGTTGTTGTGGTCACACTTGATATCATGTTGAGGCTACTATGACCTACTCTTAAAATGTCAATCCAAAGGGAGAAGGTATTACAATAGTGGAATCCAGCAAAGAAATTACAACATGGGAGATATGACAGAGCAATTCCAAATAGAAACTCAAATACGGTACCTCTATGTAAGATAGCTACTTTGTAAAGGCAAATGAAAGCTTTAAGGACAAAGGAGTCTACATTTTCTAGGTTGAAATTAAATAAGCTTAGTACATACTCTGAAACTTCAAGACAAGAAGATATATATCAATGGCTCTTCAACATGAGATAATACTTTCAACTATCTAGAACAAATATCAATAAAAGAATTATGTATAAAACTAGTTATTTGAGAAATATGACAGTAATTTGGTGGCAATATCAAATTCAATGCTTTGGAACTCAATGTAGATTTTGTGATTGAGAGGAGTTTGAGACCAAGTTTAGGAATCAATTTTGGCTCATCAATGTGGAGAAGATAGTACTCAATTAGTTGATAAACCTTATACAATCTAGGTTGGTGTAAGTTTATATCTCTCAATTCAATTTTTTATGTCTCTAAGCTGATAATATTTTGGAGGCGAAGATGATGGAACAATTCTTATAAGGTTTGAAACCAAAGGTCTAGTGAGAGGTGAAACTAAAGAATACACAAAAATTTGAAGAAGCAATTTAGATTGGAGAGAGGATTGATGCTATAGATTTTAGAAATTGTGGAAAACAACCTATAGCACAAAGTCCTATACTACTATCTCTCATGGATATACATAGATATTCTAGTAAATTCCTATATGATTAAATAAGAATAGATAAAAATAAATAAAATTAGGTTAATTTCATAAGACCTTTTCAGGAAGCTTCATAGATACTGTTTGACTTTATGTCTATTTGTGGTTGATTGATAGGTTAGAGATTTGGTCAACAAGTTAACCACATATTAGTAGCTTGTGAAATAAGTTAACTATGTGACATACATATAGAAAACTTGCTTTGTAAGTTAAGATATGTGTCTTACAAAGTCAACATGTTTTGGAAGTCCTATAGGACATCGCCACATAGCTCCTAGTTAAAAGTATATACGGAGGTAAGAGTGAAGCCTACATCACTCTTATTAACGCCTTTCAAGTCTTTACTCTTATTTTAAGACTTTAATCTTCTTGTTTTTGACAATAGCCATTCTAGTTCAATATTATATCATCTTTGAGTGACATTCTAGTTTTTTTTAGTGATACAAGAGTGTATTGAAGATTTTCTTTTTTTGAAGATTCATGTCCTTTTCAATTTGACAAGAGTGCTAACATATTGTTGCTATCATATTTTAGAAGTGAATGGATTATCCTACTTCTATTGTTGTATTTTGAAGATTATAGATTATCCACCTTTAAAAAAAAAATCTTATTTTCTAACATTGATTTTTTTTAAAAAAAAAAAATAGATTATCCATCTTTGTAGAATTTATTTATTAGAGGTGGCAAATTGCCCTTCTCTAATTTAAATTTTTGAATTTATTTGAGTTGTCTATAGAAGGAAAAATTATTGATGCTACTTTCAATAGAAGTGAGAATAGATTTGCAACTATTGTAGTTCTTCATGAGCTTGTTAATACTTTGAGAGTAGAAATCTCACGTATTTCCAATATGAATCATAGAAGTAATATGCATATACCTATGGAAGAAGTTTAGAGTCTACGACAAGAAGTTGTATAGTTAAAAGAAGCAAGTAGATTAACCTCATAACCAAATCTAAGGAATTTTATTTCTACAAGTATGACAGGGACAAGGATTAATATGCCTGAAAAGTTTTTGGAATAAGATCAAAATTTTGAGGATTTTTGCAACAAATCAACTTCTATCTAAGGTTGTATCCTTTTCAATACTCCCATGGATTACTCAAGTCAGATTCATAGGCACACTTCTATTAAGAAGTGCTCTTTCTTTATTTGTACCTTTAATGGACAAAGATTTGTGATTTATTTATGATTTGAATTCATTCTTAGGGGTGTTTACAACCATATTTAGAGAAAGTGATTAAGAAAGAGTAGTAGAGACCAAATTCTTATCTTTACAGTAAGGATCATGGTTAGCTACTATATATGCTATTAAATTCCAAAACCTCACTTGTAACGTGGATTAGAATGTCAAAGCTCTTATTAATAAATTTTGATATGGATAAAAGGATAATATCAAAGATTTATTAATGACAATATCAAAGACAAAATCTTTGGAATAATTTATTGCTCAAGCCATTGAATGTGACAATTGATTATTTGAAAGATGTCAAGAGGAACAAATCAAATAATGATGGTTATAAAGTTTTTAGAAACTTATTTTTCAAAGATAAGAAGCCAAATTTCACCATTTGATGAAACCTATGCCATACAATAAATCCATGAGGTGG